GAGAGAGAAATTTTTTTTTCATTTGATTAAATGAAAAATAGATTTTTTCTTTTTTTAATTAATGATAAGTGAATTTTCTAAAAAAAGTGATGAACAAAGCAAAAAGGCATAGAAAAAAAAGAAGAAAAAAAAAGACACACTATAGAAATTACTATTAATTAAGCCTATCATATAAGTTTTAAATAAAAATTTGAATTATTGAGCCTGATTTTTTATTAACCAGGATTTATTTATTTTACAGAAATAGGATGCATTACAATAATCAGTTATGTTTTGCTTATTAGAATGCGAAACCAAATGAAACTGACTGCCAATCTCTGCAAGCAAGAAGGAGGAGCAGAATTGATATTGAATTCTGGGACCGGATTCACATTTTTGGGGTGATATTTACCCCTGACCAAAACTTGCACATTGATTTCGTATAGCTCTAGATGGTGATTACACAAACATTTCCTATTATGCTAGTCTTTAGCCAATTGCTTTCATAGAATGGCTAACTCAATAAAAAAAAGTATCCCAAAATGGCCTAAGATTTGAAAAATCAAAGAAAAACGGTTGAATTTGTTTAGTTCTGTTCAGGGGAGTATCTCCGATTTTAAAAAATAGTAACAAAGTTCATCAAAAGATTCTGATTTTGAAAGACTTAAAATAATCCTTATTTGAAACAATAACAAGCCACAACCGGAGTACAAATTAACAGATGCCGGAGAAAATATACCAAATAGAATGGTCTGAGATTCACAGTTCCTAATTCTTCTTAAGTTTGCTAATAACTAAATTTTGCAACTAATTTTGCAACTCGATGATAACAAATATTCCCATCTACTATGCAGAACAAATAATTTACATCTGATCTCTTTCTGTTATTCCTTGATTTATTGGTCATTTTGGGACACTCATTATATGCAACATACTAGTTTATAAATTAATAAAAACAGTAGTGGTGGTTAATTGCACTGATGTACCGAAGATAAAATGAATTTTCCCTAATTACTGAAAAGTTAACACTTAGATTATGAAACTAGAGGATGATGCAGGATTACACAAATTAAAAAATAATGGTCAAATACAAATAATCACATTCGTCTTTTAAAAAAAATTGCCTAGGTCTACAAACAAAAAATTTGTAAAGCTTTCAAAGACTTGCAAGAACTCGTGCAAGAAGTTAGTTTGTGTACATAACTAAACTATACATCATATGAATTTAATTCACCCTTGGAACACAACACATTAGAATTTAGAATATAAAAATAAACTCAACAAACACATTCCAATCAACATTATCACAGATAATACATTGCTTCCATTACTCTTTCCACGAATCGTTAGAGTTATAAAAGTGGTTTTATGAATTACTATTGGAGTACTTGAGTTAGGAGGTGAATTAGAACTAGAAGGAGATTTCGATTCCGAATTCTCAGAATTTTCTATTTTGAAATCGCTTTTATTGTGGTCTTCTTGTTCCCCAGGCTGATGTTCAGTGGGTTCATTGGAAGATTTTGCTTCAGAAGTGCTTAATATCTGACTATGTAATACAGATGCTTTATTTTCTTTAGAGGACTGTTCAAGATGTAGATCTTGGGTGTTGTTTATTATATGGTGAAGTGGATCAAATGTTTTAAATTCATTTTTATCAGGAGTGTTTTTGTCTGTTTTGCCAGAAGGTAAAATACTAGAAAAGGTACCGGTTATTTTAACGTCTTCTTCATCATGAGGGGGATGTTTTGCAGACTCGTCCAACACTTCATTACCTTGTTTTAAAAGGAATTCTGAGTTATTGTTGCAGTAAGAGAAAAAATGAATATTTGACAGGAGCATTTGACTTAACTGGACAAAACTGTTTTCCTGACTGCTACATTTGTTGTGAACAAACTCTTGCATACAATTCACAAAAAACTTCATAGATCTGAAGAGAGAGATAAAAAAAAAGTTAAAATTACAATGATTCATCTAATGGGGGAAAAGTAATAAAACGAAAACTAATTGTTAATGTGAAAAAAATATTTTTGAGTATTTCAAGAAATTAAATTGCAGACTTAGTAAAATTTTCCTTAAGATAATAATAAAATTAAAAAAAAATGTTTTTTTAATTTATTCTTTACAATTTTTTTTTTAAAAAACTTCTCATATTTAGGCTATTTTTCTTCTAATTTTTTCTTCCAATTGTTGAAAGTTCTTTATATAAATGCATAAGATTAAAAAATTGAAATTTTTTTTTCATAATCATCTGAAAATAACTTGTTTATGCAGGGTTCCCACTCAATTTTTTTAAAAAAATTCAAGGACTTTTCAATGACTTTCAAGGACCTATTCGGCATTATTATTATATGCTTAAGTACATGTCAACCAGATTTTACAATTACATAGAAGCAGAAATTGTATATTTTTAAATCACAATGCTTAGTTGACAAAAGAAAATTTTTTTTTTATTGTGTTGTGATGTCTCTTCAAGATGACAACCCAGACAGAGAGAATTGGATTCTATTCTCATTATGTATAGGTGTCTCCTGAGGATGAGGTGTCCAGTAAGAAGACCAATGATCTTCTATTAAGTTTTAAAAGCTCTTTTTGGCGTACACTAGGACAGTCACGATTTTGCTCATTAGCTTGTCTCTGACCGTCAGCAGTGCGCCATTGCTCATGGGCAATTTTGCCATAGACCTTGAATATGGATGCCTAAATGAAGTGGGAGAAATTCCCAGTGCAGACTCAGGGCCCAAGAAAATTGCATTAGAGCCAGCTCGTGCCGCTTCATCAGCTAGCTCATTTCCACCGATACCCATATGTCCAGGTATCCAATGCAGGGATACCCTGCTATGAGTGGATAGGTCACATAGATAGGACCGAGAAGCATTCCCACACGAACAAAGAGGAGAATTTACACCCTGACAGTGATAGGAGAGCAGCCTGACTGTCAAGACAGATGCGGATAGTCATATTTTTATATCCTTTGTCTAAGCATATCTTGCAGCACAAGATAATGGCATGGACCTCAGCCTGAAAAACAGTGGCATAGTTTCCCAAGGGAAAATGAAGTTTGGTATCGTCATTGGAGCAATAAATTCCTGCTCCTGATTTGGCACCAATCTTTGAACCATCAGTGTACCATATCAGACATTTGCCTTTAAGCCACCGAGGAGAATTAAACCATTCATCTCTAGTAGGGAAATGGATCACTAGGATAGTAAAAGAAGGTATATCCATCACTTGTGAAACAAGATGACCCCATGAATGATTGATAGTTACATTGCTGTTTCAAATCATTTTGAAAAATTCCAATAGACAAAAAAAAAAACTCCAATTGGCATAGGATACTAGCCAACATTTAAAAACTAGCATCAGTGAAACTTTTCATGAAAAATTTCATGAAGTGAAATAGAATTAATGAAAATGAATGAATGTATAATGCATATTACATTAAACAAACATAGTAAATAATTGTTAAAAAATTTATGTAATTACACAATATTAAAATATAAATCCTTTTTTTTTTAATATGTTAGATCAAATTTTAGGTTACAGGAAATGTATATAATTAGATAAATTATCACAATATATCCATTCAACATATCTGTTTCAATTTTAATATCAAATTTTCTATTTTGTAACTTCAGAATATCAGTACTCTATTTTGAACATAATAAAATCTATTGTAGAACTATATTTCACAGATAGCTAACTAGGACTTACCGAGCTTTATTTTCTTTAAAATATATCCATAAAATGTCAAGCGTGGTTTTTAAAATTTTGTGAATACGCATAATTTTCACTAAGGGTAATTTTTAAACCGCATTTATACGGATCTAGATATACTATATGTAAATCAAAATTATAAAAAAGGTGAAGTAAGTCTCAAAGATTGCGTAAATCACATATCACAATGAGTGATTTGTAAATTGAAATTGAATTGCGGTGTTTCTAAAATCTGAATAATATGAGTTGCAAATTATACAAAATTCACATAAATCACAATGTGATATACATAAATCACTTTAATGTGAATTCTGTTGTGTGATTAGCTAATAGTTTTCATTATGATGCAAATTGCAATTTGTGATTCGAAAGGTGCTTAATATAGAATAGCTATGTGTGATTCTTAAATCATTTTGATGAGAATTGTGGGTGGTAATTCTTGAATCCCTCTTTTGTGAATCGCAATGCGTGATTTGTAAACTACTAGAATGAGAATTGTGAGGCATGATTCTGAAATTACTTTAATCTGTATCATGTTATATGATTCAGAAATAACTAATTGAAATCATGATGTGTGATTGATAAATCACTTAATAAGAATCATGCATAATTTATAAAATACCTTAATATGAATTCTGATGAATAATTTGCAAATTACTTTAAAGTTATATTAGATATGCGTTCCATTAATCACTTTCAATTAAACCGCAATTTGTAGAACATTTTATATGAATTCCGATCCGTAAATCAAGAATTAGTTTAATGTGAATCATAATGTTTATTCATAATCAAACTTGTAGAACTAAATTTTATTTATTAGTAGTAAAAACTAAATGTAAAAATTTGATTATAGATGATAAAAAATTAATTATCATTCGTACATAAATTAAAAGAACAAATAGGATAACAATATTAACCTGGTGTAATAATGAAGTTAACACATTGAACATATTTCTAAATCAATTAAACACTATATATTATTCGAAAACTATGACTACAAAACCTAAAATTTGCTAGAAACTTCAGCTTTCAAAACATCAGAGAGATGAACAATAATCTGTCTGAAAAGTCTAGGAGAGAAAACTTTTACATCTTCGATAATCCCTTTTCACTCCAAGCATTAAAAGTTGCATCTATCAGAATTTTCTATAATTTTTATTTGAATTTATTTATTTTTTACTACTCTTCTGTAAGAAAAATTAGTAGTATTTTAATTCCTAAAAAATCAAGTACTTTTCAAGTACCCTATGGCAGAATTCAAGGACATTTAAGGACCCTGATTTTTTTTCAACCAAATCCAAGGACTTTCAAGGTTTTTCAAGTACCGTGGANTAAGAGAAAAAATGAATATTTGACAGGAGCATTTGACTTAACTGGACAAAAATGTTTTCCTGACTGCTACATTTGTTGTGAACAAACTCTTGCATACAATTCACAAAAAACTTCATAGATCTGAAGAGAGAGATAAAAAAAATACTAAAATCACAATGATTCATCTAATTGGGAAAAAGTAATAAAACGAAAACTAATTGTTAATGTGAAAAAAATATTTTTGAGTATTTCAAGAAATTAAATTGCAGACATAGTAAAATGTTCCTTAAGATAATAATTAAATTTTGAAAAAAAAATTATTGAATTTATTCTTTAAAAATGTTTTTTCTTCTTCTTAAAACTATTCATATTTCGGCTATGCACATCAACAAAATTTTTTCTTCCAATTGTTGAAAGTTCTTTAGATAAATGCATAAGATTAAAAAATTGAAAATTTGTTTTCATAATCATGTGAAAATAACTTGTTTATGGTTATTATTTTAGCTACCGTAAAAATATTTCATGCACAATTTTAAATATATTCAATCTGGAGTTGCTCACTCCAATCTTTATATTAATGACTACTGCATTTAAACATGTTAAGCATTCAATTTAATATAAAATTACAATTAGTTACTTTTATTAAAAAAATTAATGGGTGTGTTTCTTAGATTTAAATAAATTTTTTTTTAAATGTATACTCCAAGCAAATATATATATAAGATTAATATAATTGATCATATTGAATCAATAAAGATGCATAGAGAGCTGAACTAAGCAAGCGAAGACAACCTAACTAAATCCATATTAAGAATGTAAATAAGTAATAATCACCTAATAAATTTTTTAATAAAATGTTATGTGGTTCATTAATATTTATTTTGATTCATTGGTTCTTTAAAAAAAATGATTAAAAAATAGTTTTAATAATTTTGTAAGGAGAAAACATTATCTGTTGCAACTAAACTTTTTAGCCAGAAGTAAATTATTATAGCCACTTTCCACTGACCACCCAACTGGAACTTTTGCTCTTGCACCCCAAAAGCCCAAGGTTTAGAAAACTGAGATGGACTCAGCAGGCCTTGGCCGACTATGGGCTGTCATGCCACTAAATTTAACTTAATCTATTACAGGGTATATATTCATTCAAATTTAAAGCTTTAAATATTTCAATGAAGTAGTCATAATTTTTTTTAAAATTAAAATGATTAAAAGATCAATTTAATTTTTTTGAAATTTCAAATCTAAATCATATAAGATATCTTACTGTATTGGCTAAATATAAAAAAAGTGAAGTGCCCTTCAATTTATACTTTTTAAAGTCTTGCCTATAAAAATTATTGATTTTTCTCATATATATATACATAGTTAACAGTCCCTCAGGAACATGCCCTTGCAATTATAAAATTTTAATTAATTCTTATCTCTATTAAACCAGATGAATTTAAGAAACATTAAAACTTTTCAAGTGAACTAAGCTCACAGTAAAAACATGAAATGCGGAGTTTCTTCTGCTTTAGATCTCATTCTGTCTTGTTAATGTTGGTACACGCTCAAGTAATATAACGAATCACCTGCATGTGCAAATAGTTGTTGGTGAGTAGCCGTGCTTCATTATGTTAAGTGTAGCCTACAATAAACCTTGTTTCGTTAAAAATCTTCTGTTTTCATTCATATGTAGTATGTCACTAGACCTGTATAATAGACGCAAATGCCGTTCCCAAAAAGTTTTCTATTATTACTAAAACAGGGATTTTCTATTATTACTAAAACCAAATTTTTCAACAAAAAACAAGCACCTTTTAAGTACTTTATAAGCACTCAAAAAATATTTTTAATCATTCCCCCCCAAATAAAATTCATAATTAGGATATGTGCAGTGATTAAAAATAAATGTTTTTCTATCATTAAGTTCTAAATTTATGAACATAAAATCAATAAAATTCAAAAACATTTTCACAAACTTCATATAATCATGATAAAATAACTAGTTTCTGATAAATATTGCAGAGAAAATTGTGAAAATCAAGTATTTTTTGTAATTTAGAAAGACAATCGACACAGCAAAGAAAAAATTAAATTATAGAAAATTAGCACTTTCTACAAGCCCTGAATAAAAAAAAAGAATCCTTAAGGGCTTTTAAAAAATGTAAATCAAAAATAAGCACCTTTAAGCAGTTTATAAAAACGCTACAAACCCTGTAAAATAGAGGGAAAAAAATTTGTTTTTACACTTTTTTCTACCAATGCAAACACAGTTGAAAATTACATTCAATAATTAAAAGTCGTATATTGAGATTCCTATTTACGTAATTTAAAATTGTACATAGTGTTTCCTATTTTTATGATTTTCTATAAAATATTGCGTTTTGTATTCATGATATTTAAAACATGATTATGAAAAATTGAGTTTCCCATTCACGCGATTTTAAAATGAAACATCCAAATTTGTATTCATGCTAAGTTGATATTGAACATGGAGAATTGTATTAACCTGATTTTAAAATTAAACATTAAGATTCGCATTTATGAGATTTTAAAATTAAATGTCGAGATTCATATTCACTCTACTTAAAAATCACACACTGAGATTCATATTCATTCCAGCAATGCAAACAAGGTTGAAAATTACATTCACATAATTAAAAGTCATACATTAAGATTCCTATTTACGTAATTTAAGATAGTACATAGTGCATCCTATTTTCCCGATTTTCCATAAAATATCGCGTTTTGTATTCACTAGATTTAAAATGTGAATATGAAAAATCGAGATTTGTATTCATGCAAAGTAGAAATCAAACATGGAGAATCATATTAACAAGATTTTAAAATTAAGATTTGGAATTACAAAATTTTAAAATTAAATGTTGAAAATTACATTCACTTGACTTAAAAATCACTTGCTGAGATTCATATTCACATAAATTTAAATAAATAAAATCTCACATCGATATTTTTTATTGAAACATTGATAACATTCAGTGGGTAAATGCTTCCTACATGCACTTTTCCTCGCTTAAATTTCAGGTATTTTTTGAATTATTTAGAAAGTTTTCTTGCACACAACATTTTTGGATTTTTATTTTTAGCTTCTTTTTTTTCTAACCAAACTCCTCCCTGTGGTATTAATCAATACCAAGTTCTATAAAAATTGAACATTTTTGAAAAAATCTGTTATTTTCAAAAGAATTTGCCAAAATGAGGTTGCGACAAAAGAGTTGAAATTAATTAAGAGTTACTCAATGCAGATAGGTTTTTAATTGAGATTTGTGTTCACAGAAAGATTTTTATTTTATCTAAGTCTGCACATCACAATTCATGAGTCAAGTATCACAGGTTAACAGGGTGCGTAGCCAAATCTTTCAACAAAAAATAAGCACCTTTTAAGTACTTTTTGAGCTCCGAAAAATATTTTAAGCACTAACAAAATGCAAAATAATTTTGAAAAACTTTACATGACCACTATAAAATAACTAAAATTTGACAAAGAACTCTTTTTTTGATTATACTAGCCATTAAAAAATGGTCGAGAGATTTTTCAGTTCGATTTCAGAGGGTGGAATATGAAGCTTGAAATTGAGAATATCTAGCAAAATGCAGCAGAGTTGCACATGAGAGTGCAAGAATCTCACCGAACCTGGCTCACTGCACATGCGACCATGCAAGTATTTCAACAAACCTTTAAAATGATTGGCGATTTCATACGCTATGGACAGACGGTACGCCGAAATTGATCGTGGTTGAATGAATTCTGAAAACGTTAAATAGAAAAATATGAAAAGCATGTTTTTACATAATACGTGGCGAAAATCAACAGTCCCTTTCATAAATCTCATTTTCGAAAAGGGAAAATTAAGCACTTTCTAAAACACAAAACACACACAAAAAAACCCCCACCTTTAAGGGCTTTTAAAAAACGAAAATCGAAAATAAGCACCTTTTAAAAACGCTACGCACCATGGCTAACAAACTGACAGGTTATTGCTGCTATTTGAACCTTTGTTACTTCATCTGATAAGCAGTGGTCTAACCCATGAGCTATTCAAAGGTATTGTATTGACTTTTGTTTATTCTAGTAGATAAAATTACTTTTGTTATGATATCCCCTGTGGTAGAATTTTTTCGGGCTTTCTGCGACAAACCTCTCTAGCACTAATATCTTTCTGCAATATACTTTTAATAATAACAAATATATATGTTTAATTTAAAGTGACAAAAGTGTTGTGTTTAGAAAAAAAAACCTCTTATTTTGATAAAATAAATTACATTTAAATTCTTTTAATAGAATATGCAATATTTGTTTCATTCTAATACTATCTATATTCTATACTAATACTGTTTTATTCTAAGACGATATTCTATGTTAGCAGGAAAAGACGCAAACTATTTCCTTTTTCGCATTTTGTAAATCATTATCACACATACAAAAAAAAAAAAAAAAAATNAAAAAAAAAAAAAAAAAAAAAAAAAAAAAAAAAAAAAAAAAAAAAAAAAAAAAAAAAACGAATTAACAATCGAGAAATCTATTGCAGTAACTAACTGAAAAAAAATTGACGACGAAATCACATGAATCGGACTCTATAATAAGGTGTTATTCAAATGCGTGTTTTGTTTCGAGAATTGGTTTTTCTAATAAACATCATATTAAGAATATAGGAGTTTATAAACCACTAAATAAATATTAATAACTGTTTAAAATACAATTGTAACACAATGGATTTACGAAACCAAAATTTTTTACTTCCCAAAAGCAATATCAAACTCTTTCTGCAAGAACTTCGTTACTTTCTGCGACAATGTCGCCGCGATTCTGCTATGGGGAAGATATCTTTAATTATATATCATAACTTAATTTCTAATCTAATCAAATTATTATTTTAATTCAACTATTCATTTCGTCGTCTTTTTTTTTACTTAAGAGAAAGAGAGAGAGAGTTAAGATTAAATGGATTTTGGGCTCTAGTTTTTTTTTTTTTTTTTNTTTTTTTTTTTTTTTTTTTTTTTTTTTTTTTTTTTTTTTTTGTTCAGCACCTAATTGAGGGAAGATTTATTTACCCCTTTTTATGTTTTCTGTCCATTTTCCCCTCACAGAGGGGAAAGTCCAATTTAAGGAGTTAAAGATAATTTTCGATTAGCTGTGTCTAAATGTGTGAGTGGATCATTAGAGTTCCCATTTTTTAATCAGAATAGGTTAAAAATATTTTAGGTTTTGATAAGATCTTTACATAGGATGATTGGTTTTCTACTTCCAAAATTTGGTTTTTGACCAAAAATAAAGAAGAAAAAAAGAAGAAAGAAATGTTCGTTTTGGTGTAATTAGAGAGAGTGAACTCAGAGGAAATAGAAACAGTTAAGTTGAGAAAAGACAAAGGAAATGTGTAATAAAAAGGGAAAGAAAATGTGGTGTACAAAGACCTTCAATGAAATGGTAACTAATTAATCAGTCTACATCTCAATTTTTCTAAGCATGTTTAAAAACCTTAATTCATTTCATAGAAAAATTGTGTAAATTTAGTTTAATTATCATCTTTAATCATTATCCTTTCTAATAATCTATAATTATTTATGATTTAAATAAAATGAATGTCAGTTACTTTTGAGAAGCAAGTTTTGTACAGTCTTTTATTTGAACCACTTTTACTTGTTTGAGGCCTGCTACAAAACACTTCTTACAGTTTGAACATATACTTTTATTATTCTAATAGCAGTTAATACTAATATATATTAACAGTGGATGCGTAACTACATAAACAAAACTACTTCAGACAAATCATATTTTTAATCAGATGGATATTAAATGAGTTAATAATGAATTAATACCGAATAAAATATAAAGTTATGCAGAATAAAACAAGTCTAAATTAAGACTTTTATGCCTACATTAAATAAAATCGTAATTAAAAAATAAGTAAACACATTTTAAATGAAGCAATATTAAAATATGCACAACGTGTAAAGATTACCTGCATGAATCATTTTTGAAGTTCAACCATTTCGAAAGACACTGTGTAAATGCTTGACTGTTTTCATCCATGCAATTTGCAAGTAATGTATAATCTAAAGAAAATTTTAATTTTAATAAAAAAAGTTTTAAAGTATCTCTAATAGATTTTGCATTTTTATTTTAATTGTTTAAGAAAAATAAAAGCTGTCTTATTTATTTACATATTACCACTTAGAAATTTGGATAGTAAGATTCCACGCACTCACACACAGGAAAGTGAGCTAAAAACTATTAAAAATCTTACCACTAAGAGGTTTTACTGCTATGTATGCAATGTCCATGGTGTCAAAATCGTGGCATTCATCCAGAAAAGAGTTGAGTAAATTATGCAGGATAATTTCTGAAACATGAGATGCACGTGCTGTACACGGCGCATTCAGTTTACTACAGGAACCCACATCCAAACTTTTCCTTCACAAAATAAAAATTTAATCTCATTACACAAAAACATTTCACATGGTGATGTCTATGATACAGTGTAAAATCAATCTGCAAGAACTCTATAACGTTCTGCAACAATGTCGTTGCGATTTTGCCATGGCGGCACTGCCTTTTCTTAAAAAACTATAACCTGACAACATACATTAATAACATTGTCAGTCCCAGTTTGTGTTTGAACCAAATTTTTAGTCGAGGCACGATTACACTAATTATGTGATTAGATATAATATGTTTATAATGTTGAAAAGATTAATGTTATTTATTTATATTTCATTTATTACTTTAAACCACCTATAATGCTCTTACTCACATTCAAAAATTCAACTAAAAAAAATTGATCATTGTTTTTTAAAAAATCATTATTTTTCTTTACACAATGATTCAAAATTGAAATTACATACAGAACTATTTGTTTAGAAAACAATCTATTGGTTGCATACCTGCAGTTTAATCGGCCTACATCTGTTAGGGGATCTTCTGCCTCTAAATTAGAATAGGAGTACATGCAAGATAAAATGGCAAATCTCTGTTTGAATATGCACTTATTAACATTTGTGGAATCTGCAAGAATTAAAAATGATAAATACATTTATATTTTCAAATGGAAGCATTATTATCAATGTAGGTATTATTTAAGTTAATTAAATTAAATTATATATTGAGTTCAATCATTCTAAGTAGTATAAGTATCAATTAATCATTATTCTTATCAGTTTAAGTAGCAAATGAAATAGATTATTGAAGAGACAGAAAATAGAAATTGATTTATTTTTCATATTAAATGATTTGATTACAATGTTAAGGCACACACTTTAGATTTTCAGTAACTACTTCTTGGATAAAATTTGAAAACCGCTTTTCTTTTTTTAAATATATTTAAATATATGTTATTGTGGAAAGAGAACATTTAGAGTTCATAAAGATTTGAAATGATTGCTTTCAAAATTTAATTATTAACTGACAAACAAATTTATTTCAATGAAAAAAATGAATTAAGTGATGAAATTGATTCAATTTTATTTCTTATGTATAGAGCACAAATAATAATAATAAAAAAAACAAACAGAATATTTAAATAAGTTTTAGTTCAGCCAAGTGAATTTTTTTTTTTACGAAAAAAAAAATTAATTTAAAAAAATAAAATATTTTTGTTAATTTAATATTTCATTACTTATATACAGTAGGGAACCGATTATCCGGAACGATCGGGACCATCGCTATTCCGGATAACTGATTTTTCCGGTTTTCTGAATCGCTACAAAAAGCCGTTTTTTTATTGTTAAACCCAACTAAAAATTTTTTTTTTCATGGAAACAATCTTAAAAAGAAGAAAAAACGATGGAGTAATACACTAATGATTATTTCCAAAATGATGGTAAGGTAAACATCTTTCAAAAAAGAAAGAAAAATCCTAAAATCTTATGATGAAAAAAATTTTTTTTTTAAAAAATGGCGGAAAATTTGTTGAATTTCGTTCCGGTTTTTTGGTTTTCCGGTTTTCTGATTTCCGGATAACGGGTTCTGTACTGTACTTTTAGTTTGTTGTTGTTGTGGCTCAGGGAGGATCAGTATATGTTCTCTCTGAAAAGTAACAAACAATCCAGGATGTGTTTGGGAGAAGCCTGCTCAGTTACTTTTAGTTTGAATAGAACGAGATTAAAAAATATTGAAATTTCTAATGAAATTAAGTCAATTTTCAGTTTTTTGAAAATGTCAATATGTATTACTTTAAATAAAAACAAAAGCAATTTTTAAATGCTTGCATTGCATTTCTGAAAGAATATTTATTTGTAATTATTGAATGAGTTGAGATAAAAAGTTTTTTTATAATTAAATTTAAAAAAAAAGATTAATTTTAAATTTTTATTCAGTTGCTCTGTTTTTCATTTGCAACATTGTAAACATGCTTTTTGATTATATTAAATAAAAACAAAAGATTACAGTACTTATTTGCTTAAACGTAACCATGAATGATAAAGAATGTCAAATAAAACAAAATAAATTATAACTTAAGTTAAACTTATAATTCAACTATAGTTTTCAGTCATAACACATAAACAAATGAAGTGTGTTGTGTTGATATACTCACCATCAATATATAACTCGGAGCACAAACTATTTTTTAAAGATTCTAGTCCGTTACTTAAAAATTTCCCTGAAGTACACTTGCTTGCACACTCAAGAAGTTTCTTAGCTTTACTAAAAATAATAAAAAGAGTTATAGATAAGAACAAATAATAAAGTGAAGTTAAAAAAAAAACAAAAAAAGGGAATAAAGCACAAATGAAAGTACAGAATAGGACATACTATAGTTTCTCTTCTATAAACTAGGATCTTTCAGAGTGTCTCAACACTAGGACTGGGCTATAAATCGATTTAACGCCTATATTGGCAAGTCAATACAGCGACTTTCGTTCCAGTCAATGCATCAGAAATCTGATTTGTCTTCGAGGAAAGACGATATAATGATATAAGACACGCAAGGATCTTCCCTTACATTCCGATGCCGATTCGGGATGTTCGTTATGTTGAAATGGCCTTGATTTATTAGCGGTAGAATCAGAACCAGAGTTTTGAGAATACAGTCGAACTCGTTTATTACGAGCTCAGATTTACCGAGGGAAACGAGAATTTTTGGTTGGATCAATGTTAAGTCTATGGAACAGAAGTCGCTTTTAACGAGCAAGACCCGGTTTTAGCGAGCAATATTTTTCTGTCTTGCAATCTTTTTTCTCATCTTTCTAGTCTTTCTGTCTTATCTTTTTGTCAAAATGATAAAGAAATGCGAGGAAAGGGGTTAGTTGTCATTAAATTAAGAAAAGTATTTAATTAAATTAATTAATGTAATTAAAGTAAGTAAGTATTAATTAAATTTTAAGTAAACTCAATCATTTGACCTCCCAAGCCCCCCCCCCTTCTGGTTGCACGCCTGTCTTAAGGACCCGTTTATTACGTGCACTCGGATTTAACGAGTACATGTTACGGTCCCTTTGCGCTCGTTATAAACGAGTTCGACTGTACTATATCGTGTACTCGCATATCTTAGTTTTTTTTTCTTCGTCGCGACTTGATATCATTTCTTGTAGATCATTTGCAGTGGGACTAGCTTCGTGATTGCTGCTGTTGCCTTGTTCTGAAAGCAATCTATTGTTGAAAAGAATTTATAAAGAGTTTCATCATTAATTAGGTAATTTTTTTTCAACAAAACTTTTTCTTATTTTTAAATGTGAAAATTATTGGAAATCTAATTTAAGGCGCCCATAAAGAATTAAGGTACAAAGTAATTAAATTTGTTAGGCTTTTTTCTTTTATTTTAATTTATTAAAAACTTTTTGGATAAAACTTCTAATAATTTAATGGGTTTTTATTAGTGATTCAAAATTTAGAAATCTTGAGTTGCTTTTATTTTTAGAAATAAAGTTAAAACAAGACTTATATTTTGTCATTTGGATTTGGACATAAGTCAATCAATACGTTTATTCAAAAAAATGTGAAAGTTTTGCGAATTTCATTCATTTTTTTCGTTTTATTAGAGAGTACAATCAGATTTTTTAAAATTTTCTTTTAATATTATTAGCTAAATATATTATCGAATGTCACAATTCTTTTGTTTTTATTTTTAAGAAATTAAATCTTACTTTGTTTTTCGTTCATAATTCGGTCATTATTTAATTTAATTTAATTATTTATCTGAGAGTCTTTAGACGGACG